CGCAACATATGCAGATGCTGAGATGAGCCTTTACCAGGAAGAAGGGGGCATCAGGGAGCGACATAACGCACCTCATTGAGGAGTAGACACTGTCCGACGCAATAAGAATAATCTCGGAAACAATCACTTGCAATGTGTTCAGGAAAATCAACTTCTGATTGGATCTATGATCACGGGTTCCGGACAACTCCAACCTTGGCAGCACGCAGTATCTAAGAAGGCATTCATCACCCACAGCATGGATACGTGAGCTCACCCTATCGTGGATCTTATAACCTGGCTGAACCACATGAGCCACCTCGCCAGTCTCCTTGTCAGCGAAGGGGAACTCGAACAATGCCTGATGCCAGGGAGGCTACCCATACAAACACACTGGTGGAGGCCGACCTCATGCCTATTGGGATCGAATGATTGCCCCATAGGGTCCTCCTTGGCTATACCATTATCCGCGAATATCTTCTGAAGTATAGTGTCAGCTTCGTTGATCTTAGCATATATGGCGGCGAGGTCTTTACATTGACTACGATCCTCTGAAAGACAGGAACAGAGTCTGATGAGAATGCTGAACACATCTGCACCCTAAAAACTATAGACCATTTGTACAACTACATGCCCATCTAGATCAACATGAATAACTGATCCATACTGAAAGGCTCAGCCTCCACAGTGAGTAGTCCGTTGAGGCGGCACCAAGCCCCCTATATTGAGCAGCTCACCATCCGTTATCGATGCCTTGGCCCTATCAATGTTGTCAGCTACGTCTAGCATGTCTTTAGCCATCTTGTTTATAGCATACTTGGAAGCATTCTCCATCTGCACCAGAGACAGAGAGTTGCATCCCAAGGAGCTCACCGCCCCATAGGGCCTACATTCTGATGGTATCTCTTGGTAGCCTGGTGGGAATCCTGCTTGCATGCATGTATCTTCTCCTTGATGTCGTGAGTTTTCTCATCAATCTAAGCATCACAGCGATCTCGAACCACTACCGAGCTCGTCCTCCCTACAACGGCAATTTTCTGTTGAATCTGCGTTATCTTTTCGGCATCTTCCGCAGACACAACCTCAGGAGCGGCCTCTTTCTTGGGGGTCTCAGTGGCTGCAGCCTCTCCTGTGGGAGTAGTTTTCGCCTCCTTCTCAGCGGCATCCTTAGCGGTGGAGGGATCAGCCTCACTCGCAGATCCTTCAACATCCCTAACCGAATCGGTAGCGAGAAATTATAGTTCATCGCCAACTACTTAGCATTTTCCCCCGCCCTAGTTGCCTTCGATGCTTGACTGAAAAAAGCTCTCTGTCCCACTGCAGCAAGGCAAGGAGTAACTCCCCTAACCCGCGCTAAAGCAAAAATCTGTTGTAAGGCAGTGACGCTCGACATCGAGGAAAAAGTCAATCCTAGATGATTCTTATAACCAACCCTGACCACTATAATAAACTCAACCATATAACAAGCTCAGTGTCGTGCCGGCCAACTTGAAGCATAACGTCATCCCCCTGCTATATAAGTAGTGGATTCAATCAGCCTTAAGCCCTCTTGGCCTTCACCGCCTTCTTCTTGGCAAGCTCAGAGGCCCACTTAGCACGCTGCTCGTTGTGGTACTCAGCCAGTCTGACCTGGTACTTGGCAGCCTCCTCACGAGACTGGAGGACCTTCTTGATGGTGGTGTTGCGGATGTGCCTCTTGCGCTGAAGGGTCTGGGGAGTGATCAAACGCTGGATCTTGGGGGCCTTGGTCTTGCGGCCAGTATCCCTGCGGACAACGAACTTGCGGATATCATCCTCCTTAGTAAGGCCGAAGAGCTTGCGGATATGGTTAGCCCTCTTGGGTCCAAGGCGACGAGGCCTGCTATCGTCGGTCAAACCGGCAATCTCGGCCTGAAAAAACAAGTTGAGTCAGTGCTTCGGGATGATAGTAGCTTACATCGCCCTTCTTGACGAGGACGAGGTTGAGGACAGAAAGGTCCTGGCCGACGATGCAACCACGGACGGACTTGCGCTTGCGCTCACCGTCACGACGAGGGCGGTAGCAAGACATACCCTTCTGGAAGAGGAGTCTTACACGGTTGTTGGTCTGAAATAGGGAGAGAACAAGTAACCTCCGATCGAAGAGAAGTCGATTATTGAACCCAAAGAGCCTAGGAAAACCCTTACTACCAAGACACCCTGCTTCATAGGGAAACCCTGCTTATCGTTACCACCAGAGATACGGAAGATGTATCCCTGGAACTCCTCACCAAGAGACTCGCCAGAGACTTCAGCGGAGATACCTACACGCAAAATACTCTAGTGGCTGATTACCGTCTTTATACACAAGTATGGTGATTCACAAGAAGAGAAGACCCGAGCATTGAACGAAGAGAGCACAAATCCCCAATTACGCTTATCGAAGAAAGGCAAGAGCTTCTTGTCATCATCGATATCGATGCACTTCTGCAATCCAGTGCTGGGGTTAGCGATATTGATCTTCATGGTGGCTGGGCAGGCCGACTACGCTGGAGAGGTGGAGGAAAGGCCTTTATCGATCAAACTCACAGCCCTTTGGGCGAGCGAGATTCGAAAATCGCGGAGCGAAGCTGACCTTACTCCAGCCTGTCAATAGCTGCTTCCCTCCTATACAGTTGACCATGAGTATCGACCTCTACTTACTGCTAGAGACAGCATCGGGCTACGCTCTATTCGTACGTGACCAGTACGATGAGCTGGGAAACATCGATGATGGTGCTGCACAGACTGAGAATCTCAAGGACTTCATGAGGTGAGCCCTCTAGGGATTCATAGGGGCATCGGCTGCTCGTAATGGGCCTGCCCAATAGAGGGCCAATCGCGATCGATAATAACGTCATTGGAAGAGTGGCGGCCTGAGTGTTTCTGGTTTGTAGCCTGGTGAAGCTCCGAGGCTTCCTTCCCTTCACCTCTGCCGAGGTCGCCTTGTCCAACATCAACGCCATTGTTGCTGGTAGTACCACGTGTCACCACATACTAGTCTGCTCACTTTGGTGGTCCTTAGGCGAGTGCACTGAGGAGTTGAAGAACTTCCTCTCGATGAACTTGACCACGCAGAGCAAAAAGAAGAAGAAGGCAGCCCCTGCCTACAAGTTGGGCGTTGCCGATCCCAAGCTCGGCGACTCTCTCAACGAGCTCGGCTTCCAGGTGCGTCCTTACCACACCATTGCCTAATCGTACATCACCTACTATCAGGTCACCTACTCCCAGTCTGTACGTGACATGCTTCGTGGATGCCGCCAACACGTAGCTAAGATGGTGAAGATGGACGAGTCCGATCTCGACAAGGCCAGGTAGGCAGGGACTCTTCCTCTTAAGTTTCCCATAACGTCCCTGTAGGTGCGGTTTGGGCCATGCTTATTCTCGTAACAAGATGCAGTTCGACCCGAACCGCCAGGATAAGCCCATCATCAACGCTATCGCTATCCTCGATGGTCTCGATAAGAACATCAACACCTTCGCTATGCGTGTGAGGGAGTGGTAAGTCGTGGTGATAGCGGTGATGTTCACTATTGAGGGTGGGTGTATAATGTAAGGTACTCGTGGCACTTCCCTGAGATGGCCAAGATCGTCACTGATAATGAGGTCTTCGCCAAGTTGGCCTGCCTTATAAGGCTCAAGGATGACTTCGACTGGGATAACAGGATGGATGAGGTATCCCCCTTTCCTCCTCTCCATCACTTTTACTTCTTCCCTCTCAGGTTATAGAGGCCTGCGGTGGTGATGAGGAGACTGCTAAGGAGCTTGAGAAGGCTTGTCGTACCTCTATGGGCCAGGATATCGTCGAGATGGACATGGCCAACATCGAGCACTTTGCCAAGCAGGTAAACGGGGAATAATTCTGTTCCAGACTTGTCACTATCTCATGAGCAGGTCATCTCTCTATCTGAGATGCGTCGTAACCTCACGGACTACCTCCACGGCAAGATGGACGTTGTTGCACCCAACCTCGCCGCTCTCATTGGCGACACTGTTGGTGCCAGGCTAATCTCTCATGCTGGCTCTCTCACGAATCTGGTATGTCGTATTGATAATACACCTCCCTAGGCGATGATGGCTAGTAATAGATTCTTGATGCAATAAATTCAATGAGCAAAGCAAAAGCTGAGCCGGGGATGCCTCACTTAGTATAACGCAATACGTGTCGGCTCCTTCTATAGAAACATCGTCGAAGTGATGTTTGAAGCCTCTTCACACGGGTCGATCTAGGGTTTCTGTCGTAGGCCAAGTACCCTGCCTCTACCGTTCAAATCCTTGGTGCTGAGAAGGCCCTTTTCCGCGCCCTTAAGACTAAGGGTAACACCCCTAAATATGGTCTAATCTACAACTCTAGCTTCATCGGTAAGGCTGCTCAGAAGAACAAGGGACGGATATCTAGGTATGTACGCTAATTGAGGCGGGGTGCGCACAGCGAAGGATTCCTTCCCTTGGTGGTGGCATCAGGTATCTCGCCAACAAGTGCTCCCTTGCTTCCCGTATCGATTGCTTCTCGGACCAGCCCGCAGGAAGCAGCGAATCGTAAGGCTGTTGGAGGGTGTTATGTCGAACCTGAACTGTTGACTTTGCTGCTGTTGTAGTTGCACTGTATTCGGTGAGAAGATGCGGGATCAGGTTGAAGAGAGGCTGAGATATCTCACTACTGAGGGGGTTAAGCCTAAGAGGAACGTTGATGTGAGCCACGGGTGAAAGAAAGTCCAAGAATGATGGGGATTCGCCTTAGGTTATGCGTGAGGCCATGAAAGAGGTTGAGGAGATTCAAGAGAACGACAAGGAGGCTGTTGAAGCTGCTGCCGCTGATGAGGAGGAGGAGGAAGTTGTTGTGGAGAAGAAGGCTAAGAAGGATAAGAAGGCCAAGAAGGAGAAGAAGCGTAAGCATGCTGAAGTGGAGGAGGAGGAGGTCGAGGAGGTAGCCGAACCCGAGGAAGAGGTGAGAGGGGTTACCATGTTGTAGTTAGTGTTGTGATGGTGTTCATCTTAGGAGGCTCCTAAGAAGAAGCATAAGCATAAGAAGTCGAAGAAGCACAGCTCTGAGTAGATCGTCTTGCTGTTCGCTACAGTGTAGTAGTGATGATATGAATGGAATCTTACCAATATTGGCTCCTGATCTGGGTCGTAGTCCCCTTCCATCGGTATCATCGTGTCTACCACTCTACCACGTCAACTGTTACTCTTCTATAACGATCGTAGCGGTCATCGTCGATGGTCCGCCTTCCTGCCCTTTCCAACTGCGGCATCGACTGCTGCTTCCGATCATTGTCATGCCCTTGAGTTGTAAGTAGTTATATCAGAGTATTCGAAGGGTTGCTTTATGAGGCCTCGTGGGCTCATCTATTCCCTCGTTCTCTCTACTGTGCCCACGAGGGCCTGGGAGTCAATTCTCAATGTGCCGAGTCGGAAGGGTTTGCTGCCCGCGGCGGGCGGTGGTCAGGTGAGGATATAATTGTTTACAGAGAGTATTAACGTATGGCAGGATCCACAAGAGCAGTTTATGTTGTGCCGTAGACGGCGAGCAGGAAGTGTCGTAGCCCTTGGTTCGTGGTCAGAAGAGGTATGCCGAGGGACGGGTCAGTTGCGGAGTAGAGCTGATTGCCATGCTCAAGGCCACTGGCACCGCAGTGTCCATATATGGTTTTATAACCCGGACGAAAGTAAAACACAGTGGAACGCCGACCCCTCCCTCGATAGGTCGACTTTAGGGGAAGTTTTGGTGCAGAGGAGGAGCCTTCTCAAAGATACGAATCCTGGTCGATGGGATGTATCCGTTGGTGGTCACGTGGCGGGCTACGATGATGTAATACGACCGTACTGGACTTGTCTGTCTAGCCATGAATCAGGTGATGGCATCAGCAGTGAGGGAAGTCCGAGAGGAGCTGGGCGTGTCTGTCAAGCCTTCAGACCTTGAGGAGGTCGGCGTGGTAGCCACCGAGGCCCGAGGGCCTGGATATATAGATCGGGAGTAACTCACAGAGGGAGGCGGAGTATGCATGTCAGGGCTTTGCATTCAGACTCAAGCACATAGCGATATACCCCTGGCGAGGTCGTCTGCAGCAGCTACAACTCGACCCAGCAGAAGTTACTGAGGCGGAGTGGATGCCGTGGGTGGAGGTTCATCGGAGGCTCATACGAGGCGATAGAGAATTCGTGGCATTTAATCGTGAGTATATCGACCTTCTGAACCATGTACTGTTGCAACGATTTCATTCCTTTCATTAGCGTTGAATGGGGGTTGAGTTAGACAGTTGAGGGAGGGAGGTCCTGGTCGGTCGCCGGCACGCTCGAGGTCATGGGGGACATACGAGCATCAATCAGATTGGCTCAGTCATGGTAGAGTCAGCTGCACGCTCAGGACGTGAGCAGTATAGCGGAGTGAAGCGTTCGAGAATATGGCTGGTGAAGAGAAATAGGGAGGCAGGGTCCAAGAGAATTAACAACTACAGAGGATTCCACAAGATACATACGGGAATCTACGGCCAGAAGGTAGCATCCTTCATGGCGTGTCATAGGCAGCTCATGCCGTTTAGGTTAAGACATGCTTCTTAGTTCTGCGTGGTAGTCCTACTCGGAGGATGGTTATCAAACAGTACTCTAAGGCGACTATGGCACGGCAGCGGTTGCCGATCTATGGCAAGGGAGGGTGAGTACTCGGGTTCTATGAAGTCCTTGTAGTTGAGCTCGTATCAGATCGGTCTCTCTGATCTCGGGAACGCGCGTGATTGAGGACGAGATATGTATTCTGGAGAAACTAAAGGAGAAGCAGGTTTCTAACGTTGTAGGAAGAGCGGTTGTTTTGTGATCCCGAGGTCCCAGGATCGATCCCGGCACGTAGCGTCTCTTCACTCTCAGATATCTCTGCATGAGGTGTTGTCCTCTCCAACAGAGGATCGCATCATACTTGCATTTGAGTACGGCGGATGCCAAATAATGCAGTACGCCTATGGTAGGCCCCTGGACTATGTCGCTAACGCAAGCAGCCAGCCTCGAGATATTTCCAGTTGAGTCTCAGTAGGGCCAAACCATGACAGATTCCTCTTGAGTTAGGTGGGTCCTCTACCATGGTATATGACGCTAGCAAGGCCCTGACACCTGGGCTGGTACGCCAGCTTCTATCAGCTGTGTCCGAGCTACATTCGAGTAAATAGTGACCACTTTTAACGCCTTTCATCATGATGATGATCCTCTCAGTTGGTATCGTCCACAAAGACATCAAGCCTGATAATATACTGCTTCGTGGGGATGATTGGTCCTGGGGCCTCAGGGATGCGGAAGAACATGAAGAAGGGAACGGCCTGACGTACGGCAACCTGGGAGTATTGCGGTTCGCGGGCTACCTCACAACTGTGTCTGGCTCGATGCTCATTGTAGGTCATCCTCGTCCTCCACTGGTTCAATACCGCATCTTACTTTATGTGACTTCAATACGGCAGTAATTAAAGCAGATCCACGCGATATGGAGATATACGATGCCTTGGGCACAACAGCGTTCTCCCCTCCAGAAGTCTTCTTCGGAAAGGGTATGTTGGTGAATTTATTCTGGTTCTAATGAGGCTAGCATTCCTGTCACTCAGACCCAGTTACTGGAGGGCTATGCGGGAAAGCACGAGATGTGTGGAGTGTTGGAGTTACTTTCTTTACGATGATGACAGGTCAGAACTCAGTACTTCCGGATACCTGATCGATCTCATCTCAGGTAGACTGCCATGGAGACCTACTGGTCAAGAGTCGACTCCGAGTAGCAACCTCACACTGCAACTGTCAATTCTAAACGATCCCTTACAAGTGCCGAGTGGAATCCCTGAAGCTGCTCGGAATCTCCTTGAGGGGCTCCTTCGGAAAGACCCCAGTCATCGAATTACTACTGCAAAGGCTCTATTGCATAAGTTTCTCGCATACTCGACTGAACGCTACATGTTCGTCAATCCGAATGCTCGCAGTTGTAGGTTGGGAAACACACGATGGACTAGCTCGGCATGTGGCCGGATGAGTTACTTGCAATTCTTGCAAGTTACCGCTCGTCTCAAGCTAACAGCACTTCGAATTCGTGTTAATGATCGATGAATCATCCTCTGATTTCTTACCTGACTTGTTTCCAAAAAACCATCCGACCAATCAATGATGGTGAGATATTCCTGATTGCCCAGCATGGCCCATCCGGTCACCGGATACACAGTAAGCCGCCTCGATTCGACGATGGTGGTATTAATGTACATGAGGATGGTCGGAATGTCTTCATCGTGTTTCTTTATTACACAGCATGTTATGATCAAACTAATTCCTTGGTTGTATCGTCCATCACAGGGACGGTAGTTGAAATGACCAACCCTTCACGGTTACATGCTCGCGAGGCGTCGTATTGACACTATTCAGTTGCCAAGATCTACCATTCCAATAAACTACTCAATTCAACTCACTAAATACACATTAACATCCCACAGCAAACATCATGATGGATATCATCATTAGTCATTCTCAAAAGCTCGCAGCTTACCTAGAACCTGAGTCGTGAACTGATGTGAATCGCGACACCAATCAGGATGCGCACATCAAGCGTTGTGATGTCTTTGGGCATCTCCTCAGTTCTCGCCCGAGACGGATCCACAAATCCCGCGATAATTTTTGGTAGTTTTTTCGCCAACTACAGAGAGAGAGCATCACAATGACGAATGCTCGCTGAGGTGTGCTCCTACCTCCGACTCAGTCGGATAACTGATACATTTGAGGTTATATTGGGAAGGGCAGAACTGTAGCTTGGAATCCTCTCCGACATGATAGAACAGGTTGCCTCGAAGGTCGCTCATTACCCTACAAAGTCAGAGAATTCATTGAGTACCTTACCCAGAGGCCACCTACCCTATTGTAGCAGCATCTACAGAGGACAGTTCGGCCACCAGAAATACCGATGCGGACCGGATTTTTATAAGATTCAGTACTTCATACATCATGTCCATCCATGAGAATGGCGGTTGGTCGGGACTAGCAGAAGGCCATGCTAGTCGTCTCCGATCGAGCTTATCCATTCCTACTTCATCTGTGGAATTATCAAGCTGATGAACTTCGTGTAGGTGTCGTCTTTAATTCGAACCTCTTGATGCACCTGTCACCACAAGGAGCCTCACCGGAAGGCCAAGTTGTGATTACCTTAGACTCCAAAGCCTTGCGTTTCATTGCGGCTTGTGGGCTCCGATGAGCGAATACAACTGTACGATGCTTATGATCGGCTGTAAGCTCTCTTTCTATCTTCCGGGCTAGGCTCCCAGCCTACGGAGCAAGGCTGTCGATGTTGGCGGAGCACTCGGCGCCCATACCACGGCTTTCCCATCTTCCTGTTTCCAATTAGTCTCAGGGGAGGCAACTTCAAATGTTGGTACATTTCGGAATGTAACGGGCATTAGCATCCTAGAACACCAACAATGCACGCAGATGAGCTTATCGATACGCACGCGCAAGTGTCCGAAAGATCTCTCCCCTGGCCTTGGGAGAATATGAATATACGGCTTGCTGGTATCCTCTGGTCTCGGGATGCTTGGATCATACTCGCAAGTTTTCGGCAGTCTGGGTCCATATAGTTCAATCTTGGAGAAGTCCTGATAATTTAAACCTAGTGAAAGGCTGACTGACCTCGGACCTCACCCGCGGAACAGAGCATTGTAGTCGTCATCATCATCACGTCCATCGTACTGGAGCATGTTGTAAAGGAATTCATTACCGCACCGTAACGAAATGCTGCTTTTGCCCTTCAGTGCCTCCTTGAGCTCCTCGATGAAGTTAGGATGGTAAGGAGCTTGCTTTCTGCTGGATACGATGATGATAGACAGCCCCGGACGACTAAATTGCTCCATAATCAAGTTTCGGATATTTCCGGGATGATAAGCTTCCAACTCGACGCGTCCACCGTACTTTCCGATGTCCATAATCTGACCAGAAACAGAACACATGGTTTCCGTGATTCATCGACGTACTTCTATAGGGTTCCATTTGCTTGACAGTTGAGATTCTTTTGGGATGTAATACGCATACACTTTGGTCGGACCCCAAACATGTGTGATAATCGAATCTTTGCTCTCTGCCATTGCCAATAGGTCCTTGGTAACTGGGAGTATACTCGGATGGACGGCAATAATTCCGGCGAGCTCGAAGGGGAAGAAAAGGCTGCGGAACAATTGTGGTGGACGATTCTTCTCAGCCGTAGTAGTCCTACGCTGCATGCATCGCTAGACCAGCAGCCTTGCCGATACCACCGAGGAATATGTGCGATAGGGGTGCCTCCTTTGCCGCTTCATAGATGGTCCGCTCAATCTTTATCCGTCTAGTCTCGAGGTCTTGAGTAGATTCTCCCCCCCTGAACACGACGACGATGTCGGACTGGACTTACCGCGGCAGCTGGGGTGCACCAATTCGCAGGGAGGACGATTTCGGTAAGTTTAGGATTGGAGCCTTGGCAGGGCTCTTGGATAAAGTCGGATGTATCCGTTCCCTGTTGGATTTCCTAAAGCAGCGGGGGTTCACGGGCAGATCGGTAGTCAGTGATTACACGATATATGTCCGCTAGAAAGTTGTCATCCTCATGAGTGATCCATATAACATGGCATGGGTTGGTGGCCTGAGCTATAGGATAGCCCAGTACTAGTAGGCTGATGAGGACGGCTGGACTGATAGTGTGCATAATAACTCTAACTGGATCGATGGGAATAGCCTTGGAGCAAGGATGACAGCCCCGCATAATTTCCAGGATCATGATGCATTATCATCTCGGAATTCAATGACTTTCGAGCAATGAAGAAAAGAAGGAATAGAAGGAAATTCCGTATAGAATAGCGAGCGGTATGGAAATACTGTTCGCGCGGAACGAACGCCCGAAGGTCGTGCCATGTAGTCCACATCCACATCCTGTACTTTGCATGCTCCCACGCGGTTGCCGTGTTAGAGCATCGAAATTAGCTCACGCCTTACATCTGCAATACCGACCGTACTTAGCGCCCTGTCCGCAGTCCCGTGCAACACCTACCGCGCCAAGATGACTATGTAGACTAGTTCCCTTTCAAACGATTCACGGTCCCTCCCGGTTAGGAGTATACGACCGCAGGTAATTTATTGAGTAATATATACCACTCAATGAGTCGCCTCCTAATACCACCAATATATGAGTATATATTTTAGTAATATATACCGCAATTTAATTGTAAAAGACTATTTACATTGCCCTGAGTTGACCCCTGGATCAGACGCGACAAGGAGAGATCAAAGAAATGCTTCGACTGACGATAGTTCACAACATCGTAATCCACCCCACCCTATACGATGCTGCCCACACATGGTCATCAGTAACTGCTGATGGACACTAGATTCCAGCATACCCATCGAGCCGTGGCCGGGAATGACTTGAGGGACCTGACAACCCCCCCGACTCGAGGTATGGTACCAATGTGCTGACCTGAATGATTGGAGGGCTGAGGTAAGGGAAGCCACCTCCCAGTGCTCCTCCAGAGGTGCCAGCGCCGGGGGTGGGCACTAGGAATACGGGTACTATCAATAGGGAAGCATGCGCAGATGATAAAGGCTCATAGTGGACGCACATTGGAGGTCTTTGGATCTACGATGATGATGATGGTGATGGCGATGATGATGATGTCGATGTCGATGATGACGGTGACGATAACGTGATGAGTTGCGCGATACACCTGAGGATTCCTCGTCCTCGTATCGGATGCTCATTCATGTTGCCACAGAGTGGATAGTTTAGACGCACAGGAATGGTAGATAACAGCAGTGATAAGACGGGTGGCCTGTCCACTATTATCATTTAGCACTCCTCACCAAAAAAGGTTGTCCCTACACTCGAGCCGTGGTTAGGATGATGAGATGAAGGGGAACCCGAGAGGTGATTTAACAACAACATGAACTAACCAATCTAGATCTATCATGACGACCATGGACACCCATTTTGAGTCCCACATCACTTCTAACGATCATGTCGATATATGTTACAATCTGGACAAACACGAGCAGTAATAGTAGAGAAACACGTTTTTATTATTATTCTTATAAAAGGGGAAATGCGCAAGAGCATCGTGAATACACTGGCATGCGGTCGTGATCCTCAAAAATGTTGAACGCTGCAACACAACGTAGCTGATTAACACACTATGAGCTGATTAAACTGCTACAGTGGAGTTGTGGTAGACTGTATTGTCACTGCTGACCGCAAATAACTACTACGCCTTTCAAAAATGTATTTCGCGGTTAAAGCCACCAATCTTGCGGGTAAAGAAATCATATTCAAGACTAGGGACATCAACTTAGTGCTTGATGGTCGGACGGGGAACTTGATTTCGCGGATGAGACCAGTTGCTATATGACCCGTCTTATACCATCCCTAGCCAATGTTAACGATACGACTTTTCGGAGAGAGCAGGTTCTACCAGCTCTGCGGTACGAAGTCCATACTCACTTGTCTAATTACAATTTTCGACATGCTCACGTCCGTTTGAGATTGTAGTTCTCCTTTGGCACGAAATTGTCTATTAAATTACTCGATTCCGGACTTAACATCTACCGTAAAATTCTAGACGACGTAGAGTGTGAAATGGATAGATACAGCTGGCTGGCTAAGATAGATAGGGCAGATTGCGACGCAATCTGCATTGTCCACAGCCGAACTGGCATGGTCCACAGGTCACAGACTGTTCAGAACATCCTATAACACAAGAGCGGTCCACTGCGAGCTGCCAGACAACTCAAACCGCAAGGCGATGGTCTGTGTGGACGGACGCACAGACAGTGACTCACCATATCCCAGTCAACGATCATCTATGAGGGCTGGGAATTTCTAACAACGAATACAATCCGAATATCTCGGAGGACCTACCTTGTTGAAGACAAACTATAACTCTACATCGAGGGATTGGGCTGCGATGGTCGAGAAAAATCAACCAAAGCCCGGCGATCCCCAGACAAGCAACACCATACTCCAATAATCCGCAACCCTTGAATATGTGCATTAGCTTGAAGCTAGTAGCTTCGGATGTGCGCAAGATGCTTCAATGGCTCTTCACAGGCCCATACGATCACCCTATTCTTGCTGTGGAGGAGCGGGGAATTCCTCTGCTACTGGAATTACACTCTCGTCGATCAGCCGTAGTCGATCACTGCCAACATGCAGGTGTTGGGCAGACCGTTTTGCACGCCGTGTGGGACAACTTTCTAGGGCGCAGCGAAGAAAAAATACTTTTTACATCACTTCGACATTAATACTGTGTGTTGTAAGCAATGTGGGTGTGAAGCTGATCGATTGAGCTTTAAACTTTCCAACACGGCTCAAAGTCAATGCAACGATGTCGAAATGAATATCTGACGGTTTTTCCAACATGTATATGTCCTTGTCGATGTATTGAACCATACCAGAGAGTAACTCCGGGACAGTCAATTCATGAACCACATATAGGCGTCCTATGAACGTTACGTCCAAGTTCCTGATAATGTCTAGTTCGACAACTTGGGCTCGCTACTTGAGATGTGGATACAGGACGTCGTCACGCCCTCCCTAAGATGCAGATACTACCACTATTGGTCACATCGTAAAACCTACCCCTGGTCCCGCAGCTCCCCCTTACTCGATGATTACCTAGGAAGACTAAAGAGAAAGCATTGTGAATGATGGTAGGACGGCATCTAGGACTAATATCACCCTACCTCGCTGTGTTGTCGCCCAACCTAGTAGTTTATAATTATGCAATTACGTTTCGTTATTCTTATGCGATTTGGTGATTGTTTCCCATTGTTTGCCATTGTTGCCCCCACAAATATATCGAGAGTGCATCTGCCAGGTTGATATCCTCGGATACGGCTCTATGGATCTGTTGTTATCGTAGAAGGCATTGACGCCTGGGCGGTGGGTTATGGTACATGTTACGAAGGCCGCCAAAGGGGTGGAAATTGAAAGGTATGATCCCAAGACTGGGGCCCATTTCACAAGCGTCCTAATGTTAGGATTTTAACCCATTAGGATGCAATTTAAGGATAAATGGCGTTCACAAGGGCCCTTTCCTTAGGTTGGGTTAGGACATTAGGATATTAGGATCCTTACCGCTAGAATTTAGGACATTAGGATGCCTTTTTCCTTAAAAATTGGCCTTTAGGACGCCCCGGCTTTCACAAGCTATATTTTTAAGGAAATTTTCATTACCTCGGGGGGTACTTTAACGGCAATCCTAAGGTTAAAAGTGTGCAAGACGACTCGCTGCGCTCCGCCAAACAGTCGTTGGTTCGAAACTCTGCATGTACATTTTTAAATTAATTTGTAACTTAAACAAAAATCTTACAACTATTAACAAAACTCGACAATAATTTCGATACTCATTTGATACTTCATATGAAACTACTTACAAATACTCATCTTGGCTAGAGTCAGGCGTTTTGTTACTGCAGGACTCCTCCATAGCAGAAAAGGCCCTCTCAGCAGAAACTGAAACTTCGCCCCACGCTCTACCAGCTTGCTGCCAAGCTACCCAAGCTTCCTGTTGAGCCATGAGTGCCCTCTTTCGTATCTCCTAGTTCCGCTTCGTCAAGATCCATTACGCGTATCAGTTGTTAATAAAAGTGGTTATATCTGTTAAATCTGCTGAATGGCGCCTTGAGGCACTACCTTTGTGGTCCATGCTTCGATGAACCGATTCGTATTTCGTTAGAAGTAAGTATAAATTGGTGGAGTGGTAAAGTTTGTGTTAGGTGTTTGGCAGATCCTGGTTCGAATCGCGGTTATATAACATTTTACGTTGTTTTTAATTGCCGTAAGGATTCCTAATATCCTCAGATAGCACATCCTTACGTTAGGTAAGGACGTCTTTAAGTATAGGATCCTAACGTTAGGTTAGGAAAATCTTGTGAAATAGCCTTAGTTAGGTAAGGACGTCCTAAGGTTAAAATCCTATACGTAAAGACGTCCTAATCTAAGGACGCTTGTGAAATGGGCCCCTGATCGTTTGATTGTAGCGGAGCGATGCGGGGTGGCGTACTTCCCAACGCTGGATGCACTAAGTCTCTTTCATCACTGCCTATTACGTTGGTGCCTCTGGATTTCCTGATTCCAGTTTGTTGTTGTATGCAGTCCTCATCTAGGAGTGTAGATGTTTGCCCTGACGAATCGCCAGTGATCCGGCCTGTACTAAGGAGAGTTGAAGAGCCTGCAGAGGACGTAGGAGTCCTCTGGTCTCGGGCCGGGAGGACCTCTCTCCAAGACCTCTTAGCCGTGCCTCTCTATTCTGCTGCTAATGGTGACGTACTACTGCTTTCGATCGATAAGGAAGGAGACTCCTCAGTGGCCGTGTACAGATCGAAGTATGGGCTATGTGAATTACCGTCTTGGCTGTGGAAGCCGCCGAGCCGTCTGGTGGGATCAGGCAACTCCGTCTCCTGTGTAGGGAAGCTGTGCATGGGGCATGACGATAGAGCCATGGGTATTGGCTTAGAGGCATGGTGCTCGATTGAAGAGGAGGTAGCTATTTTGCAGGGAGGAGTGGTACGTACAAGTCAGGGCGGAAGTATGGACGTCTTTACGATTGCGGGATGTCTGGCATCAAAGGAATCGGTATCATTGGAACCCAAGTTGAGCCGTGCTCAAGGTGGGATTTCGCCAAAGTGTGGTATCCAACTTGCCTTGCACGCATGCGCAAAGCCCGGTGGCGGTTCAATGTATTACTGCAAGGATTCCCGAGTGTACCACTCCTCCCAAAGAGTCTGTGGGAGGTGCTCTGAAGTTGCAGTCATCACGGTGGAATCCGGTTGCCTAGTGGTAACTCTCAATGGTGTCGACTTGTTGGCTCCTCTAGTGCACGTCATAGAGGGTTGTGTGAGAGAAGTGGTCGATGACGTTGCTGTTCGGGATCATCAGGTTGTCGTTGCGGCCAATGGTGTAGTCACGATCGTCGATTTCGATACCTTCATAGTATTCCATGATGTTCCCTTCGTACGCCACATCTCCCTTATCCACCCCATAGCTAGCCTTGCATGGTTCCCTGGTCATATGAGTGCCATTCTATCGACCTCTCGTCCAGGGCACATAGCAGTAATCGACGCCATCTCCTGTGAGTTATACACTTTGGACTTGGACTTTCAACGTGGGGCTCGAATATATCCCTATCGAATGGGCATCTGTATTGAACACGGCAGCCAAGTAGAGACTTGGGAAGTCCCGATATCGCTGTGCGATGTGTTCACTACCCTCAAAACTGGAACGCTGGAGGAGGATATATTGCCTCGCAGTGTCATCAGAGCCTTCCGCTTGTCCCCAAGTCGGGCCTACGCGGCGGTTCGGGATAATGGCTTAGCATTGTCTTATTTGCAGAGGCTTTGGAGAGTACCTGTCGTGAAGGATAGGGAGGTGGTGTGTGTCGTAACTCAGCCGTCCAGGATTGGGAGCATATCGGAAGTCCATAAAGCGGTCTCGGAAGGTGAGTTCCAGGCTTTTGCTAGGAGGATGCTCGTTTGTCTCCTCGGCAATCTTCCGGCTCTCAATGACTCTGCATGTGACTTCACAGAGGCCTGTCCACGACGGATTAGGAATGCTTATTTACTACGTCCTAAGGTAGCGGACGCCGACAAAGTGGGACCTCGATGGGAGGACCTCAAGGGCCTGGACAGGGCGATATTGTCGACTGTTGAGGAATTGCTTGGGAAGTTGAATGAAGTTAACGAAGAGTTGTGGGAGCCTCTATGGGCTCTACGTATTTATTGCTGTCTGAGGTTCCGTAAAGACCTCTCTTACCTTGGCCGTGTTCTGGGTGTCCATCCTCGCCTATTATTTGGTGGTATTAGGAAGGAACAATCATTCCTTGTACGCATATTGGAGGATATACCCCCGGAGAGTAGTGGTTTGGGACGGTCCTTGGGTCCTTATCTTGAGCACTACCATTGGATCCCCTCCCTACGACAACGAGGGGAAGCAGCCATAGCCCGCCATAGAATACGTCTCCATCCTGCCGGTGTCTTGATGAGCCGGTGTGAGTTGAGGTCGGCTTGATCTGGGCGTGAGGGTTTGTATCGCTTTTCCATCAGGAACCGAGACAAGGCTTTCCAGGCCTTCAAGGGAGTGCTCTGCCGTACACTACTAGGGAAGATTGGAGGGAGCATGCGCCATGATTGTTAGCCTTTCCAGTATGTTCAGCCTTGTGTTGGCCGGGACTATTCTTTAGTCCCTCCTGCCTGCTAGTTCCTACTTATTCCGAGTATAATGCCGCGTCTCAAGCTCCATCCACCGAAACCAGTACAGCTTGGGAATCAAGAGCAGCCGCGTCCCGATGATGCTGATGGTAATTTCGTGGCGCGGTGATGGCTTGATGGCAATCCCTAAACTGGAATTGGAGCCTGTCGTGCATATGGGCAAGATCTTCGTAATTTGCAGCTCCATTAGGGCAGTAAATGGGTAGATGGTAGACTCCTGGTGTCCCTGGATTATCGGGGCAGGCTCCTCCTCTGGCATACAGAACGGATCTTCGGTCGACTGCCATTATTGGAATTAGACCAGCGGCGCTCCGATGTCCCGATAGTCACCTGGTTCCGTGGGCTTGGGTAAAAACTTTAAGAATTTGGTCCCACCAGCAGCGGTACAAGTCGTGCAATGAAGACGTTCAGGTCTGATAGGAGCAATCCCGACATGTGTTACTCCAGCTAACACCTGTTGGGTTATGATTAGATTGCGGGGCAAGGACGACAGGTGTGTGCCAACTTTCTATGGCTATGATCCTGTCCCCTAGCGTGCCCTCGATCCGCCCTGATTCGGTGAAATCCTATAAGGCCGAGTCGATTTGCAGTGGTGGTGGTGGGACACTCGTTCACATTGGAGAGGAGGGTACGCAGAATCTAGATGGCAACGAGTTGTTACAGATGAACTTGAGAAGGATGTTCGAGGATCGTATTCTCACCGATTTCACAATAGTCTGTGAGCTCTGGCCTCCCGTTTCCAACGTGAAGAAGGTATGTAGGCACATCCAGCGATCCTGGTGGTAGTGGAGAGATAAAGGCTCATTCAGTGATCCTGGCGGCTCATAGTGGGTTTGGTCTCTTATTGTATAATCTGTTACCATATTGGTTTAGGTGGAGTCCTACGGCAACAGCTATGCCAACCACGAGCCACTAATAAATTAGAAATACATCAGAAGTAGGACGGGGTGGCAGTAGTCGATCAGCAGTCCTCCTGATAGGTTGAATGTGATGAAGGCTCTGGTACGGTTCATGTACTTTGGTGGTCTTGCCGGTGACCATCTTTCCCTCTCCGCTGCCGATACACTGAGTGTGTTGGCTGAAGCAAGGAACCTCGGTATTGAAGCCTTGACTGAGGATATGGTGGCCCAGGTCATACTGCCAAAGCTCGACCCGCATAAGTAGTATTAGTAGTAGCTACTACCCTCACCTCTCTGCTTGGCGATGGTCCTTACAGTTGCCTATCGATTCTGCTACATCCATCGTTGGCCTCCTTACCTTCCATCTCTCGAGAAGTGTCGGCTTATGTTGGTCAGCAGTTGCCCCGTCTACTCCACACTGATACTCTGAGGAGGAAGTTATTGGACGGCAACCTGTCCCAGTTTGTCATGGCTCATGTGCTTGGCCCGGCTTCTCAAGCTATTGCCACTGATCTAGACTGCGAGAGTCTGTCTACGATGGGAGTGTAGCAGTGTAGTTGTTCCCATAGGTGTTGTCCGCTTCGTTACGGAATGGGCTGGTCTGGACTCAATCTGTGATCTTCTGAGGCAGTGCAAAGGGTGGCAGGAGTGGAGGCAAGCTGCGACAGCTGTTCGAGGAAAGTTTGCCGAGATCGATGTACCCATAGTGGGCTGTATTCTCCTTGGTCCCTTGGTGTGTCATCAGACCCTGCCCGGCTATTCTCCTCCTGAGTCTACGGCTTCGGCTCATGAATGGTACATCCCTAGTCTCCGTGCCCTCCTTCCTGACAACACTCCAGGAGGCGCTGCTGAGTCGGGAGAAGCAGTACGGGTCATTAAGGGTAGAAGCACCGGGAGTGGCGGTTTCAGACATAACTGTGGTGCATTTTGTGCAATTAGGTCAATTCTTCTCCTGGGTAGTGCGCCTTGACAGAGCTGACGAGGGCCGTATCAGAATCGTGTATGAATCGGCCGACCTGCGTCTGCCCATTAAGAGCTCATTCGCTGAGAGGCTATGTGTTAAGCGCTTCCCGGCAGCTCAGTTCCAATGGGAGGTCGGAGGGAGGTCTCCAGTTCAATTCCTGCAGCAGGCGTTTTATTCAGGTTAGTGCGGTATCGGTGCCGTCCGGCGCTGCTCCAGGCAGATCAAGACCACCACATCATCAATGGCAGACTGTTATGAACAGCGACAGGCCGCCAGTGTTCATATGCTTCCCATCTGGCGTTAATCTCCATTGGAGTGATCATCTTCCCCATATTCCCCCAAATCGATAATCGTTTCGTCTTCCATCAGGCACCACCATTCCAATAGGGGTTCCACCAGGTGAAGATGTGGCATTGTCTGTGAAGGCTAACCTTGTGGAAATACCATTGGTCTCCCTGATACTGTACATATCCCGTTGTAAGCTCTACGTCTCCTGTTGCCCTCCTTAGCTACTACTTCTCTGCTGATCTCAATACCACAGTGCGTTCAGAGGATATCCTCAATCGCTTGCCCCATATGGAGTTTAGGTCAGACGTATCCTTCGCAGTGCGCTATCCTAATAGTCCTTATACAGATGCGTGAGTTCTTTCTCTCTGTTCCAGCAGCAGCTTGTGGCAGGAGGCGGAGGCAACGGCGCGACCTCGGGGATCGGTGGGACCACTAATCTGAGTAACCTGTCAGCGTTGAAGTCTCACGAGTAGTCGTATTGTTGGCATTGTAATTCAAAACTCAGCATTGAGTTCTCATCATCATGATGGAGTTTCGTAATGATGCTTGTTGTGATTTATATCTGTCAATGGGTGGAGTGCTTGCCTCCGGATACCGCTCTCTATCGTTTTTCCTCGCCAGCCATGACTTGTATCCTTTTCGTAGCACATTTACGACTCACATCTGAGATGACCGGCGGATTGAGTTTCCATTCATGTATCACTGTCCGTCTTATTCCCCGCAGTTGCTCCCACTGTGGGTAGTTCTACTAGTCGTGATGGTATCGACAGGCTGTCAGAAGGATGGTATGGACTGTGTATCATTATTCGCGTAACCGCTTTTCAGACGGGGTTCACCGAAGTCGAAATGAGTCTAATTCCGACCAGTCGTCCGGATCTAGACCTAGGTGAGCAGTGGTTCATAAATATCGACAACACTGGCATGATGCTCCTCGTTCTCCTCCCATCTAGGCCAACCTGACATGTCGGGAGTAGCAGGTAACTAAAGGTATATAGTTGGTACCTGCTCGCAGCAATGCTTAAGTGCAGAGAGATGTAATCAGAGCTATACTGAGAAGGCCAGGTTGATACACATCGGTCTACACCCATTCGGAATCAACTTGGACAATTGTATGAACACTCTGAGAGATGCAATGGGCTGATATAAGCTCATTTGGGTGAAGGAGGAGCTGGAAGTTCTGTGCAAGATGAGTCCTATTGTTGAGGTTCCTCTCAGTAGTGGACTCATCCACCAAGTAGGATGCCGGATATAATAACTGCATCTCCTCGGGTATCTTCCTGGTCCTTCATTCTCTATGGTCTTGACTACGACATGCGTTAGGCGCAGTCGCTGTGGTAATGCCTCATCTTGTGTTCTAGTGCTTCAACGGTCACGGTTGAGATGTGTACAATGTTAATACAAATCGGTAACTCTGCATATGCGATACCAGTGCACCGCTCCGCCTGTCTGCGTGTCATTGCACCATCTTATAGGGCTCATATTGGGGATGACTGTCGGAATGTGTGGTCAGGGGATATGAAGGGTCCTTAGATAACTTGATTGGATAGAAGTAGCATGTCATCTGCATCAGCGTCCTCTTCCTCTACGGCTGTAGTCCCCCCAAGCACCGAACCTGACGGCTGCCCCAGGAAGTTGAGCTGGGCGGAAATGTCGTTGGAAGAAGATTCCTTTGGTAAAGATGTGGAGTCGTCACAAGCTGTGTCCAAGACAGAACGAAGACAGGCCGTGAAGCCATCGAGGCTCAGCTGGGCTGATTTCGGCAGTGATGACAGTAAGTAACAAATTATTCCACGGACCGCACTGGATTCCTTCTCAGGTTTCTCTCTGCCTGTGCCACCTATTAATCGTAGGACGGTAGTTAGGGGAAATACAACCTTCCCCAAGGTAGCAGCAGCTCCTCTGGATGCACAAGACTCGTATATTGAGGCTCCGACCGATGCCAGCAAGCTGGCCCTTGGTGTTGCAGGTGGACATCCGGCTTGAGGCTTGAATTGATGCTGGTCGTTAGGGCTTATGACGACTTCTGGGGAGGAGGAAGAGAGTCTAAGGCCGGCTGGGTTCGGCTTTTTAATGGCCAACGCTCGTATTGTTATACCAGAGGATTCTAAAGGGAGTGTCACAGGAGGCGACTTCCTTAGCAATTTGCCAGGTCAGGAGTGGAACAACATCACTAGACTTGTGGTATTAATCAGGACTGTCGGAGGACAGCAAACGTCTTACAGGCAAACGTCTGACCTCACTGCTGGCCCATGGCGAGTTAGAGGTGACGACAGCCAGCAAGTTCCGAAAGTTGAATAGTGGGCGTAGAGTAAGTATGGCACTTAACCTCTTACCATGGAGTTGTTGCTGTCGACCGTTGCTTTCTCTTTTTAGGACGTGTCTAAGGGCCCGTCATTCTTCCCGGATCCCAATGCTGGGGGCCGTATCGATCCAATCTTCGGTAATGGTCATCTTGTACCCGACGCAGAAGTTGTCATTGATAGTGTGAAAGTAAGCCTACTGTTATCGCTTGGTCATCCTCAATAGTTGCCTCCAGACACCTCAGACTGAGCTACGACGGCATCGGCCTATTCTGAGGGCCCGTAGGAGGAAGACGACTGGTGGTACTACAACGAAGACCCCTTTGTGAGTCATTTAACTTGCTGCGACGGGGCTAGATAGCGACCATAGGTCGGAGGTCCCAGCTACGGAAGAACAGTGGCGAGCACGGGCCGAACAGAGGGCCAGACAGATTGAAATTGGCAAGATGACTGACAACTACTTAGCATATAGAGCTTCGGTAGGTCTAGTATGCAGCCAGAGCTCATGGACTCTGTACATCAGGTTACACCGAGGAAACGCAATCCAGCGGTGGACCCCATTACACCTGACCCTAATGAGAGGGTCAGCAAGAGGGCGTTCGATGCGGATCTCAAGCAGTGGCGGAAGAAACTACACAGTATTGTGGTAGTTAACGGTTCCCCGGATTGCAGGCATCTTCCTGCTACCTTTAGATACCATTAGCGAAGGAAGATCACAATAGTAGTGATAAGAAATAAGGTTGACTTGTTGATATCTAGCAGTTTGTTTTTATTGCACGCATCGGTGTAGCAGCAGCAAGTGGTTCGTCCCATTTATCGCAAACCTCGTTACATTACGTATGCAAAATACCTCTCTAGGGTTCCTCATGCCATTTGGAGCTCCGCTCTCAGGTGGTGGTGGTGTTGGCACCTGGACAGGTATTAATAATTATCATTGCATGTAGGGGTTTATGATGTTGGCCGGTCGATGATTGTGGCCGCCGCCAGTAACACAACATAATAGGAGTGTTGAGTTCATATAGTAGGGGGGACGATGAGCGCAAAACACGTGTTGCTAGTGGGGTAGACTGAATCTTATCTATGAAGTACTCATTCTCAGTGTAATGCATTCCTGGCCCCATGGCGAGTCTAAAGCCGGGTCGATGGCAGTGCCCATCGTGTACCTTTTCGAACTCACCCGATGCACTCATATGTAAATGTTGTGAGAGTGAAGCCAACCCAGCATATCTAGAGGCCGAAACGCCTAGGAAGGTGGGGGAGACTCAGCACAGTAGTGGTTCCTTGGCCCGCCCTCAGGCACAGAGACCACATAGTGGACAGGGAGTGGTACGATGGTATTGTGTGACGTGCGATAAGTGGTATCCAGTGAGCGTGCCTTCCTGCTCGTTCTGTGGTAATGGTCCTCCTAAAGAGAGGATGACATGTCGAGGTTGCAAAAGGATGCTCGAGTATTCCTTATCGGCTATATAGGCTGTCTTTAGTGCTACTCACAGGTTTATAATAAGCCGTCCGCCGGCGACAGTAGTGACCTGTCAGGCGTGTAAGGTCCTCACACCAGTGGAGAGTGGGCCCTGTAGTGGAGAGGTAAGGGGAGGAGGCCCACCTCACCCCAACTACATGGTCTTCGAGGTCACCGGTGATGGGCAAGATGGCACTAAAAGGTCCATCTTATCAGCCGAGGATGCGGCAACTGCGGCAAGATCACGACTATCGTTTATAACGGAAATGTGAGACAGTCTATGTTGGTGTCGATACTTACATTATTGATAGGTGTCTCAAGCTGAACCAGCCCTTCGTTGATGACGCCTTCCCTCCCGGTCCACTTTCCTTGTTCAAGGATCCTCCTCACTCACAGCCGCCGACCACAGTGAGCAATATTCACAACAGATGGGACAAAGTAACTCAGCCTGGCCGCATTTCTACCATGGCATCCACCTAGGTTGCAGCACTGCCGTGGTTGAGGCCTGGCCCAGGGTACACCCTCTTCGACCCTACTACTGGTCCTGTCCCTGAAGACGTCCTACAGGTACGAGGACATCTTGCTGTGACTAGTGCAGTCTTCCATGCTCACAGGGAGCCCTCGGAGATTGCTGGATGCTGTCAGCGTTGGCGGCCCTCTGTCAGCAACGGCCAGAGCTCGTCAAAGATCTTTTCCCGTACCAGGTGGGTACCTTAGTCTCCCCAGGTAGTATAACCTACCTCAGGATACCACTGAGAGGTCCACCGTGGGAGTCTACCTAGTCCGCCTCTGTGATTCCAATAGTGCATGGCGGTTGGTGGTTGTGGATGACCACTTCCTATCCACCACCCCTGGGCACCGAGTTTTTGCGGGCAGGAGCTCTCGAGTGCTATGGGTGTCTCTCCTCGAGAAGGCTTATGCCAAGCTCAGCGGCTCCTACGAAGCTATCGAAGCAGGTATGCGTTGAATTCATCCCCTCCTTGGTGATGAACTAATCCGTTCCAGGGACTGCATCAGAAGGCCTGACCATGCTCACCGGGTGGCCATGTACGGTCTACCGACTGCAAGCTGACCAGCAGGGCAGCACCAATGGTGGGATCATCCAGGAAGACGATGACGTGTTGTGGGGTATGCCCATCGTAGGGATGCTCTATCATTACCTATCGTAGGCTCTCTGGTCAGCCATGACGGGGTACACATTATGTGTGCGAGCTGTGGGTTTGTCGATGGTGTCAGTAAGGAAGAGTACGAGGCTATGGGGTTATTCAGCGAGCACTGCTACTCCATACTCAATGTACAGAGCCCGTAGTAGTAGTCACTCATACACACTATGCTCCACCAGGTTGTGGCTCTCGACGGCCTGCGGTTGCTCAAGCTCAGGAATCCCTGGGGTAGGCTGCTGAGGGTGTTCCGCTGCATACAGGAGCTCCTTAGGGTCACGAGTATGGGGAGGTCCTTATGGCCCTACCTCACCAGAATGGACACCTGAACTTCAGAGGGGCTTGCATTCCTTGACACATGGCCCGTTGGCAGGCCGAGGGACGTTTTGGATCTCTCTAACGGACTTCCGGCGGTGAGTGGCCACACGTTGGATGAAGCGAAACTAGAGTAGTTGTCTTAGATACTTTTCCTCTGTGACGGTCTGCCTTTACGAGAAGTCATGGTCAGAGGCCCGGACTCCTACGATGCTTATGCCTCGGGTATTTTCTCATCCTGCTGTACCTGCAGTCGAGATTAGTTCATTTGCCAATAGTCAGACTAATTTGGCCGTTTTTCAAGTAACTGCAACTTCCAACTGGAGATTAGTGTCACGCTGAGATGTGCGTCCTCTTTCAGAGCTCTGATAGGAGCTCAAGCAACAGCGCCTTTCCGAGCGATGTTGGTATAGTTCTATTCAGGCGTCGACCGGCGCCTAATTCCAACGTACTGGAATATGTGGCAAGCTTGCCTAGGTGGGTCCCGTCAGTGAGAGCACTCGGATTGTCCTCCTCATCGTCATACTAGGCCGAATCTTCAGGAGTACTCGAACGACAGTTCAGCTGGACACTTGGCTGTATTCCCACACACAGGGAGAGACCAACGATGTGGAAACTCGCTTTCTTGTTGTCGTCTTGACATTCAATCATCGGGGTATCGGAGCCACCACCCATGAGCGGCAAGGCTTTACACTGGGTGTTTTCAGTGCCAAACCAGTGATTGTTCGAGAGCTCTGGGTAAGGATGTTCGGAGTAGTTCAGTAGTCGCCACTCCCACCTCCCATTCAGGCTGGTTTTGCTCTGGAGAGGACTGCCTTGGCGTCTCATATAGCAGCAACTGGCCACTGTGAAGCGAACAATGGTTTTTATCTCTATACCACCTATGACGCTGGATATTCTATTTACGTGGTCAACATGTCCAAGTAAGCAGTTTGTCTCCGTTCAGCCCCGCCGCCATTTTCCTCCGGTATCAGTCGTGCCGTCTATTTCGAATCGACCGTGTCGAATGCGGTGAACTTGTCAAGTTCACGTGGATGGGCACCAGAAGGGGATGGATCAAACGTCCGCATCACAACTCGCGACCTCATACTCCCTGGCCAAGCTATGATCGTGAGAGCCTTTGAGAATTGCTCTCATTAAACATTCTCTCCACAGGTCCTTGTTGTTAGCGACTGGGGAGGCGGTTTTCGATATGTGCGTAACTATCGGTATACCTTCATGCAAAGGTGGTCTCTTGCGCAAAGTTTTCATACTCCACCCATAGAGGAGGAGAGCATACACCAACCGTTTGCATGCGCCCCGTCACAACCTCCTATACGTCACCCTTGAGTTTTCATCAACTGCTCGTCCTGTCCTCGCGACCGGCTCCGTTGCGTTGTCATAGGGCTCTTCGACGTAACCAAGACGTATGAGAAATGGTCACGTGCTATTCTTCATGAGTTTATCAGCATCTTCAGCCGTACTATCAGGAGTGCTGAGTTTTGGGGAAGTCGGAGCAGGGAGTCCAGATACGTTGATTCGATCACCCAAGCGTAAAATGTAATATAAGCAATCGAAATTAGCATGAGAACAACATCACACAACACCCAGCTTGCACAAGGATTCGTGACAACCATGCTGATTATCCACGAATTTTGGAAAAAGTGGATGACAAGGTAAACGACAATAGTCCCTATATGCGGTCTATTCCACCAACTTCGGCTACGACTGTGTGTTCATCTTCGACTCGAAGACCACAGTGATTTCGGTACAGTTGAGCTCGGTACATGAACGACTCCTTATAAGCTAGGATGCATAAACAACCAACCTTTGCCGCACTCGTATCATGTGCAAGACAAAGCACCCAAATGCTGGATATATTCTTTCTTAACATTTGCAACTGATGAACATCTCCCCTCTGCTAACACTACCATTTCTCCTTGCAGTATATTCCTATCTCGAAGAATCGCGTTCCCCGAACTTTTAATGTTTATACGGCAACTTTCAATACTGAAGCAACCCAACAACTGTGAGACATAACCGAAGAAACCACAAAAAGGACCCTGACGGTCCTCAACGTGTTTGGTTCGAATACTGTCATCTAACTATTCTAAGTAGAGCGATACACCTCTAAACGAAGAACAACCGACTACCGAAAAGTAAAAAACAGATAGAAATAAGAATGGCGGTGTGTACAGCGACCTAGCTACTACAACAAATCTACCTCGATAGTACATAAGTTAGTGCTCCTCCTCCTTAGCGGCGGCAACGCAAGCCCACGGGCAAGCGAATGCAGCACTCACGGAGGAGACACCGCTGTTGAAATTATCCCAAGTAAAGACAGTGACCAGATAGCCATATACCGACTTGGCAGTCTTAATGATAGCATCCTTAGTAAGGTTGGAGTACTCATAAACCTTCACGGAGACACTCTTATACATCTCCTCATACCTATGTCTCCTCTCGGGAGTCAACACTCTATTGTAGATATCGACAACCTTATTCTTAAGACACAAAAGGTACTCCTTACTCTTGGTGAAAGTAGAGGAGGCAGTGTCCTTCAACCACTCCCAGCATCCAGCTGCATGACCCTTCACATACTGCCACACACCAGGAGCTTTTTCTTTCAGTTCGCTGTATTTACTAGTGAACCAATTCTTGGAGGACTCCCAAACAGAAGCAGACAGTTCTTTGGCACCAGACCAGACGAATGACCAAAACTCCCATATATCGGCCATGTAGTCTCTAGAAGGCTCGATGACGTATAGATCGACACGAGTGTATACACGCGAGCACACGGCACCAGCCAAAGCCAAGGCACGAGCAACCTCACCTTGGTGCTTATCAGTAGGAGCAGTATTGGGCTTCTGATCCTCAGTGACATTTTCCTTAGTGGAGCACGAAGGACTGGTGGCAGTGGCATCAGATTCCTCTTCAGCGGGGACCATATCAGCAGGCTCCTCTAGAGGAGGCAGCATGCGATCCACAAGTTCCTCAGTCCTGTTGAGGAAACTGTCGAATGCAGCGAACATGTAACCACTAGCACTGTTCGCAGCGGCAGAGATCCTCTGACCAGTTGAAGTCTTCTTGAAGTCTTCAACATGCTCTTGAACCTTAGTACTCGCCTGCTCGAAAGTCTCAGTGACGGACTGGGTGATCTCAGGTGTTAGAATGGCGAAAGGAGGGACTCCAGCGAATGCGTAAGATATCATCTTCACTTATTACACAAAACTCAACTGACATCAACAGCTGGCGAATGAGACTCCAACTATTGAGCGATACACCGCCTCGCAATCTTCAAATGCGAAACTACTTAATTCGATTTGACCTGAACGAAAAACGGCCACTAGATAACCCCCACCTGAAATACTCGAGGTAACCAGTATCATAACTGAACTACCCACCGAGGCGTAAGAGGCGGCCTAGCCGCACAATGGTACCGACACAATTGTGTGCTATCACTTTTAGGTAGGCTGTAGATGAGGGGTTCACAACACTGCTTGATTATGGCTTGTATTGGGATTATCTTCATGTAACTGTAGATGCTGCTGAATTATGTCGCCGGCCATAAGCGGCCGAAGATCAACCATGACGCGTTCATGCCTGCACTGCAAGAAAACTGCACGAAACTTCAATTCTGTCGTGCAGTTACTCGCTCGCCTATCGTGAAACTGCCGGCTGCGACCGTGAGGCAAACGAGGTACACATACAGGTTACAAGGGTCACTGGGGTCAGTATCGTAGGGTAGACAGGGTTCCCTCCTTTGATGGTCCGGTGGGGGTGGTATAACGCTGCTCGGTGCTTTGGTGGGATTGATGGTGATTTTGATCGATTGACGCTATTTGCGTTCGGCCTCAGAGTCTTTCAAAACACCCCTCAGTTATCATGGCAGAGCGGAAGGCTGTTATCAAGAACGCCGACATGTCGGAGGACATGCAACAGGATGCTATCGACTGTGCCACTCAGGCCCTGGAAAAGTATGTTAATGGGGCTTGGTTTTGGGTCCCGAATCGCGACCGTTTTCCCCACTTCGTGGCCTTGAGAGGCCTCATATTCCGCATAGTGTGGTGTATCGCCTTTCCCCAGGTATAACATCGAGAAGGATATTGCTGCCTACATCAAAAAGGAATTCGACAAGAAGTAGCGTCCCATTCCAGACGATTCTGGTGTCGCAGCATATCCTTCTTAGGTATAACCCCACCTGGCACTGTGTTGTCGGCCGTAATTTCGGCTCCTACGTGACCCATGAGAGCAAGCACTTCATTTACTTCTACCTTGGACAGGTCGCCATCCTCCTGTTCAAGTCCGGTTAAGAAGTTATGCTGTAGCCCGATTATATCCGGCTGGGCTGCTACTTTGCGCGATAATCTACTTTTTCGCACTTGTAGTGGCATTTGCTTGGATTCGCGGTATTTGATGTATTGACGGATGATGGCTGATCAGTGTATGTTATACTATTATTCACCTAGGGGAAGTTGCGTTCGACAGTTGAATGTCAATGACTTGGTCGACCCGTTCGAATGGGAAGAACGAACGTCGCTTTAGCCAAACTCCAACTTGGAGTCTTTCAAGTTAGAAGTGCATTCAAATTTCCTTACAAGTCATGTAAGATGTCTTATCTACGTGCATCCTACCACATTTTTTACATATGAGGAGCGCACAGCGTATAAATGAAAGCGGACGATGTATGTTTGTTCGGACCCTTCCTACAAGATTATGCAGTAGATGATGTGTCATGTTTATCATGTTCACTTTCTACTACTCCACCGGGTGAACAGTATTCATTCATGACTATTAGTGGTATAGTTGAGCCGTGATTGGCTCAACATGCTGAATGCGTTGGCATATACCTAGGAGCAGCTGGAAAAGGCCACAATTGTAATCTTGCCTTATACACAACTCTATCATCATATCAATCAACTTGAAGTTCGCATGAGCATGTGCAATTGGATTATAAGAATGACAGAGTATGTTCAACAGTGTCTGGATAGGGTCGATGCGTTCCACCATATACTGCTTCCAGTTGCTCCTTGTCCAAAAACCTGCTCACTAGAGTATCATGAAAATTGCTGCCCAAAATGTCAATCTTCTCTCTCGTTTGACTGTCCAGCCAAGGCTTCAATACACGCCAGAAAGCAGTAAAAACAAAGGGGCTATTAACCTAAATAGAGAACGTCAACAAAGGCCCCACGGAAGGATCTCTTACGAGTATCCCAGCGTGTAAGCGTTCAGGGAACTCGTCCTGAGCAAGACGTACAAACTGTCGGGCGAATGACATGTCGACATTTCGAGACATTGACCACCCCTAAGACCACGACAAGATATCAGTCACACAAACCATCAATACATTTATAGACTCACTTCTAGGTCTATGAGAACCACTAATTTCCCATCACTTTCAGGGATAGAATCCGCAGTTTTTCCGAGCGAATCCAGGTTGTATGCTAAGTATTTGACGTACCTAATGAAATGGTCCGAGGAAGAAGAGACAACGAATTCAATACTCAGTGATGCCGCCTTGTATGTCCTTAGGGACGACATTCTTGGCCTTGAAGACAGCAAAAGGATGACGACAACGAGTCACTCCAGCGAACTTCCACGCCTCTGAACACATCGATCTTGATTCCCTCAAAGCCATCTACACCTACTGCTCGCTAGTGCATGGGGAAAGTGTACATGTGGCCTCATGTGCTCAATCGGACCATGGACTCTACGGGACTCGACATGCTCCTTCATTAACTTCAATGCATCATTCACTCTTCCTAATGGGAAGGGAAAGGCTCTCTCACTTCATCATTCATCCGATCTGTCACCATTCCGGGCCCTGGCGAAGCGAAGGTAATCCCTTTCCGTTACTCGCCATGCACAGTGGTGAAAATAGAGTGGGGAGGTAGATCTGCATCATTTGGGTAACAACTTGGTAATGGGGATCACCGAGTGGCAGTATCCTAACAATGATCTCAGCATCAGATCTAACGGACCACGGCTACTATTCATTACTGGAGGCTTGTGCTTTTACTCCCACCACGGTCACGAGTTAATGAGACCTCGATGAACTCCGACTTGGCTGTATGGTACACGGAATGCTTCCCTTGCGAAGCGTCGTCTTCCTTACGAGGCAGTAGAGAGGAGGAACGTTTGCTGTTAAGTTGCCTAAGAGAATTTGTATCGGAGATAAATCCCTCCTTTTCTTACGTAGCAATCATTATCCACAGGAAAGCAACAAGTACGTTAAAGATAGCTGGAAGTGTTTCAACTATCAAAAGTAGTGTGAGGAGGATGAGTGTTGCTAATGGCCGATGATCCCAAGGGAACGACGGAAGCCCCAAAGACATGCACACTATCATCAAACAAGCCTCATCCCTGTACATCAACAAAACAAACAGTGGTGAGAATCCAAGAATCTGTTAGACCCGTTATTAATGAATAGAATTCTCTACAAAGATCCTCTACCAAAGATTATCAATAAATCATGGATCATTACTAGGTATAGGTTAACAACAAGCAACCGATGATGACCCACAGAGCCACAGTATACAATGACGACATCATAAGTGACTACGGGGGGCTTATGACATAGTAGTATTATTGTATTGATGAATGGTACGTGATGGTATACTTGATGTATAGAATGACGGTATAGTAGTGTCAGAATTACCGTCACCCCCATCCAATAGATGATCTAGTGTGATCTTTTGTAGTTCCACAGCATGAGCATGACCTACAAGACTTGTATAGATCTCTTCTGCTGATGCATCGTCACCAAGTAATGGAGATCCAAGACTAAAGCCAATAGAATTCTGAGTCTCCCGCATCTTACGAGCTTCTTCACGTTGCTTACGATTCAGCCTTGATCTTTTACGGATATCATGATGGAAATGGCAGAAGAGGCACTCCATACCGTACACGCAGGGCCTCTCCGCATTACCAGCGAATACACAAGGCCTACAAGTACCAAGCTCGTGCACGATACTGCCCGCAGAGAGCACCGTTCCCGTCTGAGGATCTCTAGGTATCAGCGATAGTAATCGATCTCGATTCTCCACAGTAAGCTCACTCATATTGATGTGAGTCGGACCTGTCGACCTCTTGTTACCATCCTTACCACCAAACGTGGGAGCAGAGATTTTATTAGCAACCTCATTGCTTGGATTAGAGGGGGTAATTAGAGAATCGAGCGTGGTGAATCCAGTGACATTAGTATCGAGTAGTAGCGACCCTGTGTGTTCATCAGGCATTGTAGTATTTTGAGGAGATGTTACTCCTACTCCTACTACAATGCTAGACAGGGTATTGTCGCTGTGAACTGATGAATCAGAGCTCTCTTCAGGCCTAACCTCAGGTATGGTCTCCGGAGGGCCAGAGAACGGCTGATGTAGTACCTGAACACCACAATAATAATCCATCACACAGAAGGGGAAAGCTCACAGAGTCAGAAACTTGTGGAGCAGCAGCAGCAGGTGGTGATGATGGTGGTGGTTCAAGTCCGAAAGCCCCACCACCACGAAATAACATACTAACCAAGCGGGATGCAGCCCTATCGATATTGGTGCCTTCCGGCATACTTCTGGCCTTCAAGGACATCGATGGACGATCATTGCCGGTGGAATCGAGGCTGTACATTTCGTCGAGCGGAGACTCAAAATCAGGAAAAGTGATGAAAGTATTGCGCACCGAATAGTGCGACTGTGATGACAGCGCTGGATGTTGTTGTTGCTGCAAGGAATCTCGATTTTGGTCATTCTCTTCTTCCCCCAATCGTCCTGTATCGAGAGGCATGGCAGGTACAGGGTGGAAAACTGTTAGAAAGGAGATGACTGGTCTTAATAAAACCCTACACGAACAGTTATGGTAAGACAAGCTGTTATGGACGTGCAGAGCCGAGGAGCACAAGCCGTAACTCATTCAGCTTCACTGTATTAAACCAGATTAGGCGTTTTAACTGGGCCTCTTCCATCCCATCCTCTCTGAGCGGAGAAGGCTCTTCCAGGATCATGGAAGTCTGAGTGCCAGTAGTAGTGCATTCAACAACTTGACATCTGAGAGGAAGCATTCTCACATACACACCTTCCTCATTACTACCGTGGGCTGTCGTTATTCACCATCGTATTCGGATTGACACTCCAATCTCGCTCAATCGTTACACACACTGCTGACCTCGACAGCAGATACAATATTGAATCCATAGAAGGATAAAGAGGGGCGGCCTGCTATAGGTAATCCAACACACATACAATAAACACTATACAGATGAACGGGAATAAGGGATGTCAGAAGGAGCGCATGGACAACAGCATCTTCATTGCATCCGTCCAACATCTCCTAGTCGTGATAGATGTGAATCGGGCAGCCCTCCCACAACTTCGTGCTCTAGACTCAAGCGAACCTTCCTTATTATGCCGCAAGTTAAGATCACCGAAGATTTAACTAAGTCTCTTGTAACAGGTAAGCACAGTATTGGTATCGCCAGTTCGCTGCCTTTCATCATCCTCAATGGCAGCATTGATTAGTCCATAGCAGAGTCTACACCCACTCCGCTGTAAACTCTGGCACCACCATCTTGGAGAGAGGTCCGTCGGCCCTTTCCTATACCGATCAAACGAGAGCTGCCGTTGTTCATAAAGGCAGTCCCATAACCAACCTTTAGTATTGGAATCGGGGACACCCTGTAGAGGAAGACTCTGAGCTTCACAAGGGATACCTGATGTTACATCAGTGATGTAGCTCTGTTGTGTAGTTGTCTGGATCTACCATTTTCCACCACTACATGGTAAGCAGATTGCATCGTCATCTTGGTGATGGGCAATAGGTGCCCCGGCCTCCTGAGCTCACCGATGATCATCGTACTCCATGATATTGTAGACGACAGTGACCGCTGTTATCCAGACATGCCAGCAATGCAGGAGATCTACTAAGTTACGAGTGACGACGACGACACTCTTGTTAACTTACCAAGAGCCACGCGTACACGAGGTGAGGGGTCGTGAATTAAAGGAACGCCGAGCGTACATTATCACTAGCCCATCACGGAACACGCGACCGTCGGTTGTCATTCCGCCTTGCTGAAGGATTTAAGCCAAGTAATATTAATGTACACGTCTTGATGATGATGTGTTGTCGAATAATGATGAAGACTCAAGTACAATCTCGCTCGCCCTAAATTGGATCAGACGTACAAACAGTGTCTCCAGGAGACCGTCACCTTGTCAGCCTAGTAAGCCTATCCGTAGTGCGCCAAGTTTTCTACATGGACGACTTCTTACAGAGCCACTTGTCACTAGAAACCATGGTTAAGATCTCTACCAGTGTATCGAGGGTTTGCCCGAACACGGACAACTGCAATGGGGAATTGGCAGCTGCAGCGCAAGTCAGTGCGTGGAGACGCTCCACGAGCTTCAGTGATAACCGTCAACTCTGGCTCCAGTGATCCTCCGGTTCAACTTTATCTCGACCATTCGGACTGCTTTACTCCCACCATACAGCTTGCCATCACTAAGCACGACCAGAGGATTTGGGGAGCCGCTGGGTTTGGCATACGGAATGTGACGAATATATCACTCGCTTTACACCGACGGAGACAAAGTCGACAGAGGAGCCTGAGGAGAGCTTAGATGACTTTCTCGAGGTCCCTCGACCTCGCCATCAGCTCTCCACAGCCAGATGGCATGTTCATAGCGACATGTCACTCCCACATGCACCAACGACGAACCAATACTCAGCTCAACGTCCCAGCGAAGCGTGCCTCTCGAGACTCTAAAGCATAGATGCCAGGGGTTGCCGTCTATCGAGCTGCCACCGCCTTGAGTATTGGCCTTAAGAGCTCATATATGTGGATGGTAGTATAGCATACTACAACCATCCGTAGCAAATGACGTGCTTCTGTACAGTCACGTGGTCTTACGGTTCTGTATAGCACTACCCAGGTAGCCTGGGTATCCGGTGAGCCTGGGCCAGGCTCACTACCGGATATTCGGATATACGTTAGATTTGATTTGCGAGAATCAACCTTTCTCTTCCGCGTGCTTACTCCTTCCTTTGATATGACAAAACTCTCTGCTACATAGAAGGCACGAGAGGAAAGGAACCACACACAATCGTTTCCCAAACAAGACTCTCTCATCCATCACTCCTCATTGACACACTACATATAACTAACCCTCACTACTAGTGATAACAACTGGGTTTAACCTAGTACATGGCAATGACGGTGGCATATCAAACGGACCAATTTACATAAAGTTGTTGCACTTGGACCAAACACCGTTTCCAGAACTAGACGCTCATCGAGGCACTCGGTCGAAGTACCCCTCTCGCTCGCCTGGTGAGCATCGGCCATCCAGAGAGTCGCTATACGGTGAACTCATCACAGATGCGTATTCGCTCTCCAACGAACCCTCCAAACTATCCGATGCAGACCCTCCCTCATCATCAGGCGGCCGTCGATATCTGTTCTCACCAAATGTTGGCCTCATGGGGTCTGCTGCCGAGTGCACGTTGTTGCCGAGAGCTAATCGGGGTACCACGACCCGAGCTACGCTACCTCGCTCACTTGAGCCTCGCCGACTGCCCAACCTAGACTCATCCCGAGAGGTCCCTCTGCTACCCTCTCGGATCGCTGAGGCAATAGGAGCCGCAATCTTCCTATTATCTTCCGCGTGCAATAGATGCTCAGGTGGTGGTGACCGCCGCCTCTCATGGTCGGGAAGTGACGGCGTGTCCTCTCCATGCATCGACGGTCGGCGTACAACTCTACCATCTTCGCCTGCTAGGTAAGAATCTCGTCGATCGCGTTCACCTTGAGCAAGGCCGTTACCAATCATAGAGGGAAGGTAGATTGAGCAAGGTATGAGCTCGATACCATCTGGGACGTCGGGTACGAAAGTGATGTCTCTCCAACCTCCCACTGGTATGAATATCGTATGCTCTATATAATCCTCCGTACTCTCCCCCACCGGTGTGAACATCATACGTGTCGCTTTTTTTGCTGGTGGTTGGGAAGACACCGACTCCGCACTGGAAGTTCGAGGTCTCTCCTGTTGGAATGGGTCCTTCCATTTCCCCACAGGATTACGTGCTCGAAAGGAAGACGCTGCTTCTTGCAGTTCCTTCTTGAACCGCTGATAGCCATCACTACGATAGTCCGAGTCTTGCCGTCTTTGTCGAGGAGAGAGTCTCCATGTCGAGTGAATGAGCGATGCTCTAGCCTGCCAATCGAACGGGCCGCTGAGGAAACAGAGTGCAATACTCGAGAGCAAATCCCATCCTTACTAGAAATCACTTGCCCCATCGCCGTAGCGACGAGGAGTCTCCTTCGTATCAACTCGACCTATGCTTCTATTCATCTCATGCCGTCGATGCTGTTCAAGTGCACTACCACCAAGGGAGGTAGCAGGATGTTGCGACACCACTGGGGGGAGGGGAGGCTTGATCCGCGAAGCACTATCCGCTCTCCGCCATAACGACTTGGATGCCCTGCCGTCATTCATAGGAGCGGGATTATTGCTGATTCGTTTGGAGGTATCGACAACCTGTGATGATTAATAAAACCGATTTGAGGACTCTACTCACCTTCTCGGTATCCTCTCGAGAATTCTGACCCATACTGTTAAGGGCTTTTAGCTGCGAACGGGCAATCGCCATGCTCAGCCTCCTACTCGCTCTCCTTAGCTCACTGCCACCATTGAGTTCATCATCATCCCTACTGCTGCTCATAGGGAGGGACATAGAGTCGAAAGACAGTAGGCCGAAGGGCCAGCAAATCCGTAGTCAATCTATACTACTCAATCAGCTCACTCCACCGAATGTTAACGAAACATGCAGCAAGATTAGGCATTGGCCTCCAGTAAGACGACACACTGGATGCACAATGTAGCATGCATGGTTATCAAAGATAAGTAATTTCAGTCCAATAATGTGGCCAGCCTGGCATCTGGATGTACACCAGTGCCACCAACTGCCGTCCTACCAACTCGGTTAAGCGGAGCTCGATTAATTGAGCACCTAATGTAAGTGTGTCCCAGTGTAACAGGCAATCAATGACTAAAGCCGCGGGCCCTACCGGAGAGTATTCAGATCATCCTGCTCTGTAGCAAACGGATAGAGGCTCCTCTTGGAGTTATCCACTCGGGAATTTTCCATTGATCTTTCCTCCCAGACGAAGGGATTGAATGTTGCGCCACGATCCTGATACGAATCAGCCTACCTTAGACAGGGTGATGGCACTGCGAGACTCACTGTGAAATGCCTCTTGGTCTTGTGGCTGTTGTTATCTCCTCTCTTTGGACTCAACACATGGTCTTCCTCTTTGGCAGTCGCACATCCCCGTAATATTCCCATCCCATGGTCAGATGCGGCTCTTGAATGTTGGGTCTCAGTATGTCTACGTGCCTCCCCCGTTAGATCCACTGAGTACAGCAACAATACAGGCCTCCAAGTCGGATGAGAGCGCCCGGAAAGCAGAGCTCTGTAGGCACTCTTACCTTGACTTGATTCGCCAGCGTGACGCATCGATGAGGCATTACTCCGTAGAGTTGCTTCCAGGTCGTCAATCTCAGCGATATCATCATCGTCAGCGCCCAGCTGAGCAGCAGACAGCTTAACGTAAGTATACGAAGGCAGCCCTTACCGCGGAAGCCACTCCACGACCTCTCCGTAGGACATCGTACCCATAACTACGGTGACTGTATCGGCTACCGACTGATGACGCAGCAGCAGAGCATATTGAACGGCTGGAAGGACTGTTATCGTCAGTGACATAGTCATTGTCAAACGGAGCCTTAGCCGATGCACTCTCATCCCCAAGACGGAGAATCTCTCGACGTAGTCCAGTACGTCGGTGAGTCGAGCAAGATACGTTAGATACCTATACAGAAGTCAGGAGGTCAAAGGTTGGAACTTAACCTTGATAATGTGATTGGTCACCTGGCTGGGAGACGGCGAAGGAGGAGGTGGTGCTTCATGACGAGGCTTATTGGCACGAATAATAAGCTTAGCAAACTCGGTAAAATGCACCCCACGAGCCTTTTCATTGTGAGATAGCAACATGGCAACTTCTTCAGTCACGCTGATACCAATCATCTCGAGTTCCTCCAAGAACCTTACACAGACAGCCTTCCCACATTATCGTTCGACAGCAACAAACCTCTTAGTCGTCAGGTGACCAAAATCCCACTTCTCGAAGAGTCGCTTCACAACTGGACCTTTGGAATGGGCCCAGAACTCCTCTGATGCTGATGGGACCGGATGAGATCGATCAACAGTCATTTGAGTAGGGTTCGAACGTTCAAGAGAGAGCAGCAACTAGTAGAGAATAGGAGTCCAAGTGGAGATGGAGATAAAGCGAGTCACAGGGCTGCCGATTCAGAACAGCACGAATGACTTCAATACGTTCGTCAATACCTATAGGATGCCCTGAGTATTAACAGCGCAAGTTCGTGTATGCATACAAAACGATCATCCCACTACTTATGACTCAGCTCCTCCTAGTGAGCCCATCAGGATCAGTAACCAGACTATCAGATATTTCATCCCGACGTCGTCGAAGTAACAGGATTTACGATGATTATGAATACACGAATAAGACCAGATTTATTCGAGTCACACATTACTTTATATCTTTTATATAATGCCTTTGTGGATGGACTAAGTGATCTAATGCGTATGAAGATGGAAGGAATAAGAGAATGGGGAAAATGACAATCGAATCTCTACGGATACTTTATGAAAAGAAGATATTTATCGTAGCGGTTACCCAAAGGAGTAGAGTAATGAATACCAGAGCTATGGTCAAGAGAGGCCACCGTT